CCAATCAAAAGTCTGCCAACATTTCACAAGAATGGATTTGCTTGGGAATACTGAACAAAAGTGTTAAATTAAAAATCGCATAGACCAAGAATTTCTGTACTAAGATAAAAACATATTCTGCAAGATAAAAGTACATATTAAAATAAAGCTACTTTATGCCCTGATGATACAGTTGGTTCCATTAAATTAGACAACTTCTTTATACATGATGCTTTACAGTAGATATGTCTATTATAGAGGACTAAGTATCAATTATATTCATCATAAAAATCATGATGAGTCATTATAGCTTTGTTCATACATGTAAACCACTATTTGAAACAAATATTTTATTTTACACTTCTCTACACAGAAATACAACTATAAGAAAGTGCTGTAAGAAATTTTGGAACCACAAAGATATGCTGCTGATAATATACTGTATTATCAGTTTGAGCAACTTCTTCCACAAATTTGAATACACAGATATACAAAGTTTATCAGATGAAACACAAAATCAGGTTCATAACAGAATATAAACTGCACTATAAATTAATAAAAGCAAAAATAAATATGGACTCAAACTCTTTTCAATAACTGAAACAATTTTTTTCTACATATGACTTTCTAATAAGGAATTCATTTTAATTGGAAGTGACTAAATGTAAAACAATAAGTAAAGTGTGGAGATTGCTTAATGTAGTGTATTGACATGACATGATTCCTTATTTTTAATGATTTTCCCCTTTAATCAAGAAAGGATCAACATGTGACAAAGTTCCACAAAGAATTACTGTTTAAAAACAATAATTACATTAAATACTGCGCCTATATAGTATATTTTTAAAACTTACTAGCCTTTCTAGATAGATACCATTCATTGCTCTAGGCCTGAGTAATATGAGAAAACTATGAGGCTTTAACAAACAATGGCCCTAGCTCTGGGATACAGTGATTATATCATACTATTTCCAATCCTTGCACCCACTGAAGTATATATCAATTTATGAAAATGACTCAATCTTGATTATCTCAATGGCCTCAAGTAGGCAAGCTGATTAAACAACATGAGCTTCACATAAGGGTTATTGTTCTTTTATGGCCAAGCATCCTGGACGCCCTTTACAGGAGACCTTGGTTTTCCTTCGGGAAATATCCAGGGGTGAGAATAATTTGGTTCTGGTGATCTGGTTAAAAACTGACTAATATAGGACTCCCCTGGCGGCACAGTGAATAAGAATCCAGCTGCCAGCAGCAATGGGCAGAGAAGAGATGCACTGCCGCGGGCGGGGTGGGACCAGCGGAGAGGGTAGCATGGAAACATACAGGCGCCGTATGTAAAACAGAGAGCCGGTGGGGCCTCCCGGTATGACTCAGGGGACTCAAACCAGGGCTCTGTGACAAACTAGACAGGTGGATGGTGTGGGCGATGGGAGGGAGGCCAGGAGGGAGGGGACATGCGTCTATCTATGGCTGATTCATGCTGATGTATGGCAGAAACCAATACAGTATTATAAAGCAATCATCCTTCAATTAAAAATTAGTTAATTAAAAACCAAACAGAAAAAAAAAGTGAATCCTGAGAGTTCTCATCACAAGAAAAAAATTTTCATTTCCTTAAACTGTATATGAGAAACTTACTGTGATAATCATTTTGTGATAGAAATCATATCATTATGCTATACACCTTAACCTTATACAGTGCTGTATGTAAATTATATCTCAATAAAACTGGGAGAACAACAAAAAGAATCCACCTACCAATGCATGGGACATGGGTTCGATCCCTGATTCAGGAAGATTCCACATGTCCTGGAGCAAGTAAGCCTATGTGCCACAACTACTGAAGCCCGGGCACCTAGAGCCTTTCTGCAACAAGAGAAGCCACCACAACCAGAGAAAACCTGTGAAAAGCCACGACTCAGCACATCCAAAAATAAATAAATACATGGGGAAAGAAAAAGACTCTTAAATAAACAAATAAATCTGACTAATTAAATACGAACAAGACCCAAGCCAACTCAAAGACAGCCAACCTTAACACTGGCACAGATGTGCACTTTCCTTAGGGGCTGCTGAGCTGGCTGAATGTAAACCTGGAGATCCCAATTAAAACATTATCCTGAGAATAAATTTAAACTGAAAGAAAGCAAGAGCTTAGGGATGAAGAAAGACAGATTTTTGGAGTCATGAGAATACCTGAATGTAACAGTAAAAGCTTTAAGGTACAGGAGTTTTTTTTTTTAATCCTTTCACTTGTTTTAGCTTTCTGTCATTTCCAATGAAAAATAATAACTGATACAATTTACTAGGTAATCTTAAAATCATTAACAACTCCAAAACCCCATAAATTTAAAAAACACTTTAGAAGTAAAAGGATCCATTGTTGACTGAAATACCTATACTCAGAATGTTTAAAAGATTAATCAGTGTGTTCCAGTGAAAGAGTTCCAATGAAAGAAAAATGAAATACGGGGTTGAATGATTGAATATAATCCTAACTTCACCAAATTGTGATGTGAATCTCACTACTTAATTTCTCTGAGCTGCTATAAATGTGAGAATATAATGAGAAGACTGACTGGATAACTCTTAAGCTCTTGATTTCAACCTAAGTCCTTGATTGTAAGCATTGTAAGAAAACTGTCATTCTTGGTTAGTCTGACTACAAATAAAGGGGTTATCTTTCATTAATTTATTCTTCCACTAGATATTTAGTATCTCTTGTATACCAGGCGCTGCACTTGGTATTGAGAAGACAGGGATGAACAAGACTCTAACCCTGCCATTAAGAAGTTCACAGTCCACCAGCGGAGAAGAGCATCTAAACAAGTAGATAATTATCCTATGTGATAAGTGAGAAGAAAAAAACTATAGAAGAGGTACAGAAGCAGCCTGAGGAAAGACTGACTATCTGGGAAGATTAAGGACAGCCTTCATAAAGTAATGATGCCTAAAATAAAATTAAAAAGATAAAAAGAAGTCAGCCAAATCAAGAGAAAGAGGATATTGTTAGACTAAGGAAATACATAGCTCAAGGGTTTTAAAGAAGTTCAATATTGATGAAGAACAAAATAGGATGAGGTTGCAAGGCGTAAAATCAATGACAAGAGCAATTCAAAAGATTATAAAGGGATTTTCAAGGGCAAAAGATAAAATGATTACATTCAAAAATGTATTAATTTTTAAAAATTTAAATCAATTTTTAAAAGTTCAGTATTCCTAAATTGTAAGTAACATACAAGCTACTTTTGTGAAGTTAGAAAAATAAATTCACTTAGTTAGGTAATTACGCTTTTAGGCAGTACCTGCCTGGCAAGGTATCTAACAAATCAGTCAGTATTTGACAAATGTTTGATGAAAGAACTGTGGTAGCCACACTGAATATGAATAAGCCTGGTGCGCTTAACACTGACAACAAAGATCTCCAAATGCAGAATGGCAAAAGGTGCAAAAGTTTTTTAGGGTTCCTTTCAAGTCTCAGGGGGAAGTAGCCCCTTTCCTCGATGGTTTCTTTTTCCCTCTACATGTTATTAAGTTATTGGTAACTTAAGCCTTCTTTTCTCTCCCAACTCCCCTCCCCTTACCTGAAGCTCATATATGAGACTCCAGCCACTACTCTAATCCAGAGTCATCGCCAATATTATCTAAGAGTAAGTTTATTATCTTCTCCAACATTATAAACTCTGCCTCGGCTTCAAAACCTCTGGAATCCCATAATGTTCTAACGTTGCTACTTTATAACGCTCATTGTTACTACCCTAAACCACACTCTCATCTACTTAAAACTTACAGTAGCACTGCTCCACTCAGTCCCACAAACTGCATTAAAGCAAAGAGAATAGGATTTGTCATCAGTTAAATTTCGGTGTATTTAATGTGCGAGGTTACTCTAGTATCAACAGACTTTCCTTTAGAACTAAATGACTTCACACTGTCAACAGGGCCCGTGACCTGGTAAGCGTTAGAGTACCACCGGCATTGCAAACCCAGGTTAACAAATTTCACCAGCACTCTGTTCTTACGCCCCTTTCGCTATTCCCGTAGAACTTAGAAGTGTTAGGAAAGAATGATGGATGGGCAAAGGCCGGGGGCGGGATGCTGGAGCCCCGATGCTAGGGCCTAACTTTCGATTGCCACGCTACATCAAGAAATACCAAAGGCCCTCCGGCTCTACTGCAATCCACAAAAAAAAGGCGGATCTGACTCCAAGGCTTCTCGTGTGATGCCCGAGGTCAAAGAAAAAACTCTGCTCTAAAGAAACAGTCGCTCGCTCGTTCAGAACTCACTTGTCAGAAGTGGGGTGGACGGCGCCATCTTGTCCCGGAAAGAGAAACTCAGATACTTGGGTCAGAGTTCACGAGGGCCGAACCCGGCCCCAACACGTCTCCTCCGGCGTGGAGACGGAGAACTTGTGTTTCCTGAGTCATGAGCCTCGGGGACAATTCACTTCCGGTCAGAGCGAGACGCTGAGAAGACCTCGAACGCGCGCACGCGCAGCTTTGGGGCCGCGCTTTACGGAGCGTGGAGGGGCGGGGCTAGGGTCGGTGCGCCGGACTTCACCCTCCCTCTCAGTCTTCCTCAGCAGGCGGAGCCTGCACTTCCGCGGGGCGGGGCCGGTCCAGTGCTGACGTTGGCAGCCGATCGCGAAGCAGTTTGAGGCGACGGGCTGCACTGTCTCGTTGTTGCGTTGTGTTCGTTTCCTTCCTCTTACATTCCACGCTCCCGGCGGCGACCAGAGCGGCAGCGCGAGACTATCCTGGCGGCCTCCTCTGCACCTCCCGCGCTCCCGCCTGGCTCGACCGGACAGTCCGGGGTCGTCAGTCGGCCCGCGCCCCGCTAGGGTTCAGACCCCGGAGCCCGCCTCGCCCAGGCCCAGCAGTCGGAGCTAGCGCCCCGCCTGAGAGCCTCCTCGCTCTGGCGGCGCGGCCACCGGGAGCGGAGCGTCGGTCTCAGCGGCCCGAGAAGCACCGAACGAGCGAGACCGAGGGGTGGCCGGGGCAGGTGGTGGCGCCGCGAAGATGGTCGCCAAGCAGCGGATCCGTATGGCCAACGAGAAGCACAGCAAGAACATCACGCAGCGCGGCAACGTCGCCAAGACCTCGGTAAGGGAAGAGCGGGCGCCTCTCCGCCCCGCAGCCGTCTCTGAGGCCCGGGCTCCAGGGCCGCGTCGAGCTCTCTTCCCCAGACTCGGGCCCGAGGCCGCGAGCTGGCCCTCAGCTGGGAGCTTCACAGAGGGGTGCGGGAGCTGGTCGACTCGGGAACGCGGGAGAGACCTGTGACGTGCGGGGACCCGGCCGCCTGGCCCGGGGTGCGGGCGGTGAGAGCCCGGGCTCAGGGCGGGTTTTTTACATTGCAAACCGCGGATTTTCCATTTTGCAGAGAAATGCTCCTGAAGAGAAGGCGTCTGTAGGACCCTGGTTATTGGCTCTCTTCATTTTTGTTGTTTGTGGTTCTGGTAAGTGTTTTGGGGTCGACCGTCGGGTTGGGTGTTGGATGACGGGTTTGGGGATGACGTGGTGACCCATGAGTGGTGAGTCCTACCCGCGCAGTTCTCAACCCACCTGCCGGGAGATCCTATAATTTTCTTTCGTCCGAACCAAATTACTTGTCCCACATATGTACAGAGGGTGGTGCTCTAGAAACTTCTCCCCGTTTGATTTTGCGCTCACAGAACAGAAAAGGAGGTCAGGTCCTCACTAATTATCGAGTTGAAAAACATTAGACCAAAACAAAAAAAAATACCTCCCAGAACGAGAATTTAGAATGTTTAGCAACCTTTGCGAAAGAGAAGCTTATGAATTTCACGTTCATGGGCTTATTCGAACTTAATCTAAGGTGTCCCAAAATCTAATGTCTTAAAGTCAAAAGTGGTTATGTTTTGTAAAGTAAAGCTAGTGCAAGGAATTAATCCATTGTAGAGGAATTTGTACCGGATTGGCAATTTAATGTGTGAGACAAAAGTTTTTAGTTTAATAAAGAGATGTTTGACATATGGTAGGAAGAATTAGTTATCAAGGCAGACTGTGGTTCGAGTGGTAGGTAGACTCTTGTCTCTGCGAATGAATAACAGAATGTCTTTCCTCTTTTCATTTATTATTTTAATATGCAAGCTGTTAATATGGAAATAACATGCTTCTGCTTGTCCTGACGTTTTAAAGTCACTGGAGGTTTCTTTTAACCATTTCCCTTTGTCTGTCTCCTGAATGTTGGAGAAGCTTTCCTGATAAATGGCCAAGAGCCAAGCAGTTTATGTAACCTAAAGATAATTGAATTTCAGCTTCCTGAGAATGAGGAAATACGCATATGTTACAGGCCAAGTACACCTGATACTTAGGGTTAAACCAAAATACTTGTATGCTAGAAAACCGTGTTCACTTTGGTACTTTAATTTCTTTCTTAAAAATCACTGCTTATTTGATAACTCTCTTAGCCATTTAGCCATAAAATTCAGGAAAGCCAAGGCATAGAAAAGTAATTGTATTATCATAGTAGGCCTGTCTTCTTACTACTTGAAGTTACATAGTATTTGCAAGTAATTGTCAGGGTGTTCTTGGATTCTTGAACTACTTTAATACTTGTCGGTTGCCAGGCCTGTTTTATTCAAAGCATGTTTTAATTTTTGCTCTTTCTTTTTACAGCAATTTTCCAGATTATTCAAAGTATCAGGATGGGCATGTGAAGTGACTGACCTTAAGATGTTTCCATCCTCCTGTGAATTTTAACTTGAACTCATTCCTGATGTTTGGTATCCTGGTTAAAAACAATTCAGTAAAGCATCCTGCCTCAGAATGACTGTTCATATCATCCTTCATGTGTCATTCCAAGGTTTCTTCACAAGTCATTCCAAGTTTTCTAGTCCATACCACAGTGCCTTGCAAAAGCACCACATGAATAAAGCAATAAAATTTGATTGTTAAGCTACAGTAGTGGACCCTACTTATTCAGTCAGTAAAGAGTAAGTTTTTGGTTTTTTTTAAAAATGTGATTATTAGAACAAGATAAAGAATAGAAAATTAGATTAAATCTATGTAGACAGGGTCTAGATTTTGTTACCCCAAATGTGTAAATGCAGTTAGCTTAATTTAAAATTTGGAATCCTACAGTTTTTATATAGCTAGGCACTTTATTACTGTTTCTTGAATTGAAAGCACACTCCCACAAAGGGTCGTGTAACTGTCCTGTAATAAGGTACTTATAAATGGAACAACTACACGGCTAGCCTAGTTTTCCCATGATCTTTTAGCACCTAAAATTTTTTAAAAAGCTTCTAAATGCCCGATATAAAGGGAGATGCTTACATCCACAATATCTATTTTAACATGGTTATTTCTATTACACTACCTTGGATTGTGCATGAGTGAATATACTAACCAAGGATGCCATAAGAAAACAACTTGGTTGAGCATTTTGTAACTTAGTCACTTCAGTTTCACTAAAAGTAGCCATGGTGGAGTAAAGTCAGGGAAGGATTTTTAATATCACCATTGATTTCACCAGAATTACTATAATATATCGAAGGGGTCTATTATGGTGAACAACACTTTAGGGGGAATACTACTAAGAATGGATGCCTCACCAGGACATACCATTGAGTCCAGTGTGCTGTAAGACGTCTTAGCATGTTGATAGCACTTTTAATACCAAAAAGGCACATCAACTGAAAAGTTACACTTAGTTTGGAGATGCTTTTCTTGATACATGGTTAAAATTCTGTTAGGATACTAGATATATCAGACTAAAGTGTCAGGGGAATTAAATGGATTTACTGATAAGAATGAGTCCTTAGTCTTCCCTTTGTTGTATGATTTTTACAGGTTATGATTGATCAGACTTTCTTTTTACTAATGGTAAGGGTGAGTGATAAGGCAGGTTTGAGGTTTACTGGTACTGTTGAAAATTTCAAGTATTGGCTATTTAAATACTTAGCCATAAGGTTGATGAGAAAAACCTGAGAGGTGTCTGCGTGTTAATGAATTGGAGAGAAAGCTGCTTGTTTGCTTTGTTGATTGCCTCAGGATCTCTCTTTAAAATAAGCTGTTTTAAGAGGAGCAGAAGGGAAATCTACTACCTAGTCTATACAGTATGAACCTCAAAGCTTCTGATAGCCCTAAGTATGGGGGAGAGTGAGTGAGAGGAGTGGTTAGGATGGTTCTTGATTACTCTGGCATAAGAAAGGAATCTGTCGACCTTGGTCCAGCACATTTTTATCTGCATTGTTAACCTGCCTTTCTCACCCAGGACATCAGCCCCTGTGTTTGTTTCCCTCTTGGTTAACTAATTCTATTTTATTGTACCTTTAAAAATGAAATTTATTGTTCTAAATTCATAGCAGGTGCCTTAGTCTTTGCTTTTGAGTCAAACTATTCCATATCTCCATATCAGAATTTCCCTTGATTTACTATAGGTAGTTGGCTTTAAAACATTGAATTTTTTTTTAACAATGTCTATTTGATTGTTAAATTGCCCTAGTGAGCAATCATTTTACATACATAAAGTTGCATTCCCTTTGTATTTCATATGTAATTACCAATTGGGTGCATTTTATATTAAGGATGGATTATGCATGTTTGGGTCAATGAAAGCTATGTCTTATTTGATTTACCCTTTAAAAATAAAGATCCCTGAATAGTTGATGTTTTCTAAAAGGAAATGATTTTGTAGAGTTCTTAATCTGAGTATGTGTTTTATAGTTAATAGAAGATGATTTTAAGGAACGCCTGATACGTTGTACTTGAGTTAGAAGAAATAGTACCCAGAGGCACAAATTTTAAGGTTTATAACTGGGAATAGGTATAAGAGCACAATGAGTTAAATACTTTTATCACGTGGAATTTACCCTCATCTCATTATTTGAGTCTGGCACAAGGAAAAAGCACAGTTTTTTGATCTCCCTTTCCCAGTTGAATTTTATATGTCATTTAATGTTGAGTACAATGTAGAGAATAAATACTTTATTGGGGTGGTCTACATTATCCAATTACTCTTTTGTAATTTAGCTGTAACATTTCAAGGAGTTGTCAGTGACTTCATTTTATCTGTCGGGTTGTATATAGTGTTGCTCAAAGTAATTAAGCGGGTTTCCAAAATAAGTGAAGATTTTCATTGTAACAGGATGCATTGTAATAGACTTTGATTTACATTAAAGCAGTGTATATATTCAACTGCAAGGCCATGGGTCTTCTCACTGAGGTTCCTGGAGTTTTGGCACATGGGAAGATTCCACAACAAAATTTTATTATGCTTTAACATCTCTGAAAATTAACTTGAAGGAAAAAATTCAACTGTCTGAACTTAAATAATTCAAAGTAAATTAATATATATCACAGAATCTTAAAAGATAGAAATGACATAGGAAATTTAGCACAACTGCCTCAATTTACAGATAAGAAAATTCATTTATTCAAAGGTAACTTAGGTGCCAGCTCTGGAAATAGAGCTGTGAATACAGAGTCCTAGCACTCAGATGTCTTCCAGTCAAGTGTGTTAGTTACTCAGTTGTAACCCCATAAACTGTAGCTGTCCATGGGATTTTCCAGGCAAAAATACTGGAGTGGGTTGCCACTTCCTTCTCCAGGGGATCTTCCTGACTCAGGGATTGAACCTGGGTTGCTCGCATTGCAGGTAGATTATTTACTATCTCAGCCACCAGAGAAGCCAGTAGTAAGGGAAAAAAAACAGTGCAATGAAAACAACCATAATTGTGATAGGTATTTCAGAAGAAAAGTAAAACCAGATAAATGGAGTCTTTGCCCTCAGGGGGCCAGTTGAGGTAGAATAGAAACTAGAGCCAAGGTTTCCTGGCTCACTAAACCATCTAGAAACTGTAGGACTGACTGCAATACATCCACACAGGAAACTTACATTTTCATGAACTCTTTGCTTCTGCTTTTAGAAAAGCTCAAATTTTTTTTTTTTTTTTTTTTGGCTGTGCTGGGTCGTCATTGCTATGCATGCTTTTTTCTAGTTGTGGGAAGCAGAGGCTACTCTGCAGGTGCTGTTCTCGGGCTTCTCGCTGCCGTGGCTTCTCTTGTGGAGCACAGGCAATGGGGCACCCAGGCTTCAGTAGTTGCAGCTCCTGGCCTCAGAGCGCAGGCTCAGTAGCTGTGCATGGCCTTAGTTGCTCCATGGCATGTAGGGTCTTCCCAGATTAGGGATTGAACCTATGTCTCCTGCACTGGGCAGGCAGATTCTTCACCACTGAGTCATCTGGGAAGCCCCTAAATTTTTTTTTCCTCTTGCCAATTGAAAGAAAAAGAGAATTTGTCCTTTTACGGATGCAACTTCTTTTGAAAATGAATTTGTGACAAATTTACTATTGGTGTTTCCTGTACAGCATGAAATTAACAAAGATCAAATCAGTAATGTTATTCACTATAACATATTTAAGGGTGCATTTTTAAAAAGTAGTTTTGCTAACACTTCATTTAAATTTTTTAATCTGTGATGTTGAAAAGTATTTTTTGTTAGCCCAGTAGTCAAAAAAGACAGATATGTGCTTTCCACAGATACAAGGTTCAGTGAATAATGCATGTGTGACTGACTTTCCTGTGTACAAATTTCCACTTGGGGATGAAGATAGAACTAATCTGCACATTTTAATAATTAAAGCTATAATTTCAGTATCCTCAAATGGGTTAGTAACAGGTTTTTCTTTTTTTCTTACTTAGGGAGAAAGTCAAACAGGAGAATGAGAATAATTTATTTTGGAGCTAAAAGGAACTCTTCAAATGATCTGATTATCCCCCTTTATTTACACTTGAGATTATGGCCTAGAGAAGTTACCTCTCCCATCATCAACGAACAAGTAGCAGAGCAAGGATTAGACCACACTGGCTGTTTGTTATGCTGAATGCCAAGGAATTATCATTCTTTAGGAATCTCTCCTTTTGCCTTAGAAGATTGTATATTAATTTCATGAACCCCCTTGAGTGTTTGATAAAGGTAAGATCTGAGGATTAACTATATACTTCAATGGCTTCCTACTGCCATTGGAATGAACTAACTCTTCTAACTATGATTTTTAGGCCAGTTCGTAACATGACCCAACCTTCCTTTTCAGCCTTGTGCTGCATATTTTCCTTTCAGAGACCTGTTCTTGCCTCAAGAATCTCCTTTCATTTTTCAGCTATCTTGTGCTATTTTTTTTTAATGCTTCCTTCCTTTATTTGTATAATTCATTAAGATTCTTGTACCACAGTTTTTCAGATTCAGCATTCCAGACATGGCAATGAATTATTTTCCTTTGGGTGGAAAAAGAACAAACAGAATTGATGTTAAATACAACACAATGGCCGTTTGCCTATACACTCTGACCTGAGGGAGGTTACAAAAGCAAAAATGAAAAGTATTCTTCAACTGCTGGTTTTTGGCTCAAAATTTTTATCATTTTGAGTACTGTCTTCTCCTTGGAGTCCTGTGAAGATTGTATGTACATGTAAGGCTCACTATATTATCCAGTTTCAATGTACATGAGTTCTATTGTATGACTTTTATTTCGACTGGGGGAATTGAATTAAAATCATTCTTTTCTAGAAAGAAGGATGAACTCTGAGAGGAAACTAATCCCTGTATATAGACATACCTTAGAGACACTGTGGTACACTTCCTGACCACCATAATAAAGAATATTGCAATAAAGCAAGTCACAGGAACTTTTTGATTTCCCAGTGCATATAAAAG